CCCCCCCCCCCCCCCCCCCCCCCCCCCCCCCCCCCCCCCCGTTTCCTCCTCTGTCCTCAGAGACCATTGCCAAACATTGTAAAGACCGGTTCCCGGTTCTCAGAAAGCAATCCGTGGTTCTAGTGGGTTCTACCCCATCTGTGTTTGGATGTCCAGTGCTTTTTATTTCTGATTTTTAAAAAATTCCAGGTGTGCCACACCCACTTTCCTGCAGTGTTTGAATATTGTGTGGAATTGTTAATACCAAGTGAATTAATGCACAATAAAAAGTCTCACTGTTCCTTTCCTCCCGGCTCCGACCCTTCCTTGGCTCCCTGGCCGCTGCTTTCGGGGGGGACAGGGCAGGATCTTGGCTCCGGCGGGACGGCTTCCCCTCCACCCACCACTGACCCAGCTGCCCCGGGAAGAGGCAGCGTGGATAGAACCGGGCTTCAGGCAGCAGCACAGACGAGGGAGCTTCAGCTTCTGATCTACAGTGGGAGAATTTCGGGGGAAGCTATCTGAGGAGCTCCACGCGTGTAAGCCGCGGGTCCCACGGTTTGGAGGGCCGTGGGAAAGCGCCACGCTCCTCCGAGAGCTTGGAGCCTGTGAAGATCTTAATCTTGCCCCTTCCTGCTCTGCGTCACCCAGAGACCAGACTCCCAGGAAAAAGTGGAGGGAATCTTGGCCCTGCCCCATAGCACACCACGAAGAGTTAAATCTTTAGTAATGGATCTGTAAGTGGGGGATTCTGGCCCCTGAGCGGAGAACTTTCTTTGTATGAGCTAAGATCCTACGTGCCGTGCTGCGCAGAAAGAAAGAGAGGGAGGGAGGGAGACATGGATGTATCACTGTTTATTTTTTTTTTTAATAATAAAACGTTTATAGATTCAGCTGCATTAAAAATTGTCCCCTATGTATCAAATGTATAAGATTAGGGAAAGGAGGGGGGAGGGATAAATTAGGAGTATGGGATTAACAGATACAAACTACTATACATAAAATAGGTAAGCAACAAGGATTCACTGTATCGCACAGGGAACTCTATTCAATATCTTATAATAAATCAGAATGGAAAATAATCCGAAAATATATATATATGAAGCTGAAAAAAATTTTTTTTCTCCTGGAAAAATAAGTATAAGATTAGAAAGCCGTTCTGCTGTACCCCTGAAACTAACACAACTTTGCCAATCAACTATACTCCAATATAAAATAAAAAGTTTAAAAAAAAAAAAGATTAGGGCTTCCCTGGTGGCGCAGTGATTAAGAATCCACCTGCCAATGCAGGGGACACAGGTTCGAGCCCTGGTCCGGGAAGATCCCATGCCGCGGAGCAACTAAGCCCGTGCACCACACTACTGAGCCTGCGTTCTAGAGCCCGCAAGCCACAACTGCTGAAGCCTGCATGCCTAGAGCCCGTGGTCCACAACAAGAGAAGCGTGTCCATCCATGGATGATGGATAAACAAGACATGGTCCATCCACACAGTGGAATATATTATTCAGCCATAAAAAAGAAGTAAATTCTGACACATGCTATGACATGGGTGAACCTTGAGGACATTGTACGTAGAGGAGCCAGACACAAAAGGACAGATACTGTCTGATTCCACTCACATGAGGTCCCCAGAGGAGTCACATCCACAGAGACAGGAAGCAGATGGTGGGGGCCAGAGGCTGGGGGAGGGGGTGGGGAGTCAGTGTTTCATGGGGACAGAGCTTCAGTTTGGGGAGATGGGAAAGCTCTGGAGATGATGGTGGGGACGGTTGCCCGACAATGTGAATGTGCTCAATGCCACCGAGCTGTGCACTTAAAAATGGTTAAGATGGTACATTTCATGTTCTATTTTACCACAAAAAGAAAAAAGAAAACCTTACCCAACGTCCACCTGAATGGCTAAAATGTAACAGATGGGCGTTGCCGAGGACACAAAGCAACCAGAACCCCCAGGGCTCACTGGTGGGGTGTGAAGGGCTACAGCCAGTTTGGGAAAAGGTCCTGCACTTCCCTATAAAACTGAACACACACCTACTCTCTGAACCGGCGATTCCACTCCTAAGTGTTTACCTAACAGAAACCAAAACACATGTCCACAAAAAGTCTTGGAAGGAATGTCAGAGCAGCTCTTCTCCCCATAGTCAAAACCGAAAACATCTCATCTTGGTCCCCTATTCAGCAACAGGGAATCAAGCCACTCCTGCCCCGGAAGCCCCTCAGCCATGTGAGGGACAAACCACCCACCACCAGGGACGGCCTGGGTGGCTCACAAGTCCACAGTCAACAAATAGCCTTACACAGAAGGATGGCCTGCATGATTGCGTTTATAGGAGGCTCTGGACCAGGCAAGCCTGTGCACAGGACCCCAAGGATGTCCACATCCTAACGTCCAGAACCTGTGCTCACGTCCCCTCACAGGGCAGAGGAGACTTTGCAGGTGGGATTAAGTTAGGGCCCCTGGATTCCCCGTGGGCCTCAGTGTCATCACAAGGTCCTTATGAGAGGGAGGCGGGAGGGTCAGAGGCAGAGAGAGACGGGAGATGCTGCGCTGCTGGCTGTGAGGATGCAGGAGGGGCTGCGAGCCAGGGAGGCGGCGCCTCTAGAAGCTGGAAAAGGCGGGAAATAAGGGAAGGAAGTCAGTCTGCAAAGGCTACACGCTGTATGATCCCAATTTGATGACATTCTGAAAAAGGCAGGACCATGGAGCTGGTGAAAGGATCACTGGCTGCAGGGGTTGGAGCGGGGAAAAGCAGGATGAACAG